GAAGACCCAGCAAGTCCTTTCCAGGCTTCTCTTAGTGCTTCAGACACAGTCACTGAGCCGCTAGTTAGCTTCTGACAAGGACAAAAGGGATTCCTGGTGTGGAAAGACATTCTTTGGGCTGCGGTCACAATCAAATGTCATTTTAGTCAGTGGCTGTATTCAGTGGCTGTATTCAGTGGCTGTATATTCAATGCATTTAAAATTGATGTGTGGTTGTGGTGGAGGCTGGCAGCCTCTTGTTCTGGATCATCCCAGTCCCATCTTCCTGCAGACGCCCATCCTGTATTTGAGGTGCAATCCTGCACCTGGCACATTGAGAAGTGGCAAAAACAAACTTGTTTTAGGCATTTTCTTGCCCTTGTTACCATCTGGTGATCCAAACATCCAAACTTGGTCTTCCTGGGCTGTTTCTGTAATGATGAAAAACTGACGGTAAGGTCAGATATGTCTCAAACACGACAAAACACACCTGACTGTGTAAGAACAGCACTATGGCTGGTGAGGACATCAGGGCCTGCATGGTGTGAGGCTGCCCCTGATTAAAATCCGCCAGCTGAGAAGCACCCGCTCTGCCATTTGTTCTGGTGAGACCCAAAACATGGATGCTGTGAATGAAAAGTAGATGAATAACTTGAAACTAATGAGATTTTTACGACATATCCATTGTCTTTGTCAGAATGTTCCCCAGTTTCTTGTTTTCAGACTGTCTGCTCTCCCTGTGTTAACAGAATGCACTGTTAGTGACATTTTGCCAGAGGAATGTGGCATCAAGAAGTTGTCTTGACAGAGGCTAATTATCAAGATGATTTTTAGATGATTACTGAAGTTCTTGGGGGCTTTGAGAACTTCTGGATCAGTGGAACAGCTACAGCATTTTTGAGCAAATACTGAAAATGGCCCTGGGCACCGTTTCCAGGCAGAAGCACAACAGACTGAGCCTGGCTTGGCACTGACGTGTGAGCTGGTTGTCACATGAGAGCCCAGTTTTAAGCAGCGGGCCAGCTGAAGACATGCTCAGCCTGTTTGTGGAATGAAGGACAGCTCGTGGCCACGGTACTTGAATTGAACATACTAGTTCTGTCTGTGAGCACAGGGCATTCGTGTGTGGGTGATGAATGGCACCTTGTCTGTGCAGGGCATTTCTCTACCTGGAAGAAGCAGCTGAGGACATCAGTATCAACAGTGCACCAGCAGTCCAGTATAGGCAGAATGCTTGGAAGCCTAATGTTCACCTCCCTTATTTTCTTATTCTTAAAAGACTAATAATCCATATTGTTTTTCTAAGCTAAAAGGAAGTAAAATATCTGAAATATTTAATAAGGAATGCCTCTTCAGAAAAGTTAACTGACAACTGTAAGCTGTGTTGTGTTGCTACAATGATGCAGTCTGAGAAATGCATTTAATAACAAAGAATATTCATTTTTCTTAATTAGCATGTTAAGCTTCCTTCTCAAGCTGGATTGTTGTTACTATTCCATCATACAGAAGAACACGGGGCACAGAGGGCCTTAAGAAGTTCCTAAGAGGGACACCTTCAAGTATCATTAGAAAATAGCATTATTTTAGCTGGTAGTTCTGTATACTGTGGAAAATAGGGTGATAAAATACTCAGGCCTGCGGTCACTGTGGTAAGCACAGCTCAGAGAGGAGGGAGCTCCCACGTGTGAACCCCCAGCATTACACCTCACAGAGGTTGAGCAGCTCCTTCCCTCCATGGCCGGGTGGACGTTGTACAGCTGCCTCTCAGCACGGAGAGAAGCAGTGCTGCTGTCCCTTGCAGAAGAAACGCCATGAAGAAAATGAACCAGGTGCCTCAGGCCATCCTCTGTGTCCTTCATTAGTGCCCGAAATGAAAGATATCCAATAGCAAGACTTGATGCTAAGAAGAGATTAGTTGGAGGATGGGGGGAAATTGAAAAATAAATGATAGTAGCATCCATCAGAACGATAGTTTAGTGATCACACCTCAGTCTTAATGACTATCAGTAACATGCTTCTGAAGGGTTATAGCTGCTGTTAATCCTTAAGAAGATAACATAGATGCCATTATGAGAAAATGTAAAAAACAGAGAAAGTAGGGCTGAAGTGAAAAATTGCAAAGCCCAGGGCTGACATGGTTCATCATTGCTACTCTAATTGCGTATCCGCTGCTCAGAAAATACAGTGACCAATGTCCACGACTTGGCAATTTATCTTCTTGCTACATCTCTTTTTCAGACGACGCTGACGTTTTGCAGCCATCACAACCCTTCAGCGTTCTGTTTATTTGTAAAACCCCTTGAGAAGCGATGGTCCTTCAGGGCTACATGTGCCCTCACAGCTGTATGTGAGCACCACGTGGGCAGGCTGCTGTCTTTAAATCCTCTGTGATTTCCTTCTGAGGAAAAAGAGGGCCGACTCCTGGCCCCTCAGCAGCTCGGACGACTGTGTGAGCAGGAGGAAAACAGCTCTCTTCCGTGACTGCAGCAAATAAGCAGATATCCTAAGCAACCCTGGGCCGTCACGTGGGACTTTGGGGCAGAACTTGAGAAAATGCAGGGACCTTGAACACCTTAGTGCTGCCCGAGAGACAGAATGCCATATTGTAGTGATTGGGATGGGCTACGAAGAAAGCAGGCTGGCCTCAAACAGCTCCTGGGGCAGCTCCAGCATATCAGTGCTCGCCTCGGTGCTTTTTGCACTGCTTGAAGTGAGCAGGCTGCTTCTGTGGTACTGCTAGCCAAGTCAGGAGTGTCCTTTGCACGCAGAGTCAAGGCAGTTGTTGGTGTATATCTGTCTAAACAGTGACAGAGCTACCGGAACCAGGGCGCTCTTCCCAGCCTTGGGACATCTGATAATTTCATGGTTACATCCACCACTGAACAACTTCCTCCTGTCCATGAATCATATCAAAATAAGGATCCTGTTTAAGAAAAGCTTTTCCAAGGTGTTCTTGCCTGGAGGAGTTCTGCGCTGAGGATCTGATCCAAAGCTCACTGTGGAGCAAACTGTGAAAGCGGGATTTTCCTGCAGTTTTCTTTTCCAAGCTGTTTCCAGTGCTTTGCTTTTCCATGCCACAGAGGCCAGCGGTTACCCTGCACTGCTGGGAGCTGTGCAAGTGAAAGCTTTTCCCTCAGATTTGCACTGAGATTACAGAAATGAATAGAAATTCTATTTGTTTGCCAATTAAAATTTAATTTGTACAAGTAATGATACGCATATAATTGCAAAACTCAGTTACACACACATAGTGGCACCAACATTGTGGGCAGAGCTCCAAGAGTTCACAGCGCTTTAGCAAATCAAGTGCATAATACACAATCAATAAGGCAACGGCAGCAAAAATCACCAAAAAGAGGAATAAAAAGTGATTCAAAACAGCCCGATGACAGACTCTGGGCCCACTGAGTCATTTGGAGACTTTCCACCAGTGCTTTGGAGGAAGGCTGGCAAAGAAGGAGAAATAAACAGATGCCTTTGCAAAGGAATCATGCTTCAATTGCCAAATATTATCCTCCACTAAATAATCAGAGCAAACCTTGGATCTGACATAATTACTGGAGTTTTCTTCTGATAAGTGTTTTGCAGAGCACGTTGATGCTGGGGTTCAGCCCGAGGGCCTGCCTCGTCTACGTGATGTGTGAGAAACAAAAATAATAAATAATTCATTTTAAAAATTAGTAATTCAGAAGGTACGGTGAAAGATTGGCTAAAATTGCAGGCTCCCTGACAACCTGCCATGACATTTAAATTGCAAATCAATTGTACCCTGCGGAATGTGAAACGAACACAACCTCTCCATGCTGCGTTCTTTCTAGAGAGAAAATGCCAGCTTGCTAATAAGGAAATACTGAACATGGCAGCATTAGGGGAGAGAGGCAGGCAGGCAGCTTTCTCTGTGGGGCTGCTGGACCGTCCACCCCATTCCCTTTTCTCTCCTCTGGCCACGTGTGACACACAGGAGCGGGGACAGCCGTAATGTGGTTACAAATAGGATGGCAAGTCAAGGTGCTGACTGCTCGCTGTTTCTGAGCACGTTGGACTGGGGGATCAGGAGCTAGAACCTCATTTCAGTCTCATTCCTAATTAGCCACGTGACTGAGGGCACGATGTGGTTTCCATTTTAGGCTGCTCTGTATAAAACTGGGCTCTGGAGTTTTGGAGGTGACTGCTGCAGCCAAGGAGGAGAGCTGAGATACGTGGAGCACCTCTAGCATAGTGAGTTGATTGCTTTAAATGCCTCACTTGTTCTGTCTTTCATCCCAAGAATGCCTGATTTCTGTGGGCTTAGAGTGCTGTAAACTTGACTAACATAATCTGTTCTCGAGAGCAATTGAGCTTGTATTTATTGACAAGAATTATCCTTTTCCTGCAGTGTCAACCTGGTGATCTCCAGTAAACTCCCTGAACAGCAGAGAGAAACCAAAACTGAAAGGAACCAGAGAGTGGACTGTGGGGATTGCTGGCTTTGGCAGGCTCAGCTGTCCTGTGGGTTCCACTGCTCTGTGTCCTTTGCCTTAAGTGTGTAATTTCATTTGCCTGCAGAAATAAGTTAGCAAGGCCTGCCTCGTTGAAGGGTGACTGGTTGACCTAGTTAGTTGTTTCAAAGGAAAAACAACTGTACTGTGCAGCTGTCATCCCTTAAAATACAACATTACAGGCCCAAATTGTATCCAAAATACATTTTATTAAATGCCACGCTGTTGGTGGGATCGTGGAACTACGGATTCCCACTGCTGCCTGCACAGGGGTCTGCACTGTGCTGCTCCGCACCGCAAACACTTCTCATACAATCACAGCACAGTTGGATCAGAAGGGCCCTTACAGCCCCAACCCCTGCCCTGCGCTGGTTGCTCCCCCAGCTCAGGCTGCCCAGCGCCCATCCCTGGCCTGAGCAGCACTGGGGACGCAGCACTGGGGACGCAGCCCGCGCCGCGCTGGAAGCACTGCACGCCCCGCCTCCTGGAGGCTCGCCTCGTCGTCCGCCCCCCGAGCACTTCCGGCCGACACCGGAAGTGCCTCCTGTTTCCGGAAGTGCGGTGCCGGTTGGACGTGGCCGCGCGGTAACGGGGCCTAGGCTGGGGAAAGGCGGAGGCGCTCCTTCTCCTTCTTCACCGCGACCGCGGTGAGGCAGGGCCCTGTAGGGAGTCTGAGCCGGCTGGGCCGGCTGTGGGATTGGGTGACCGCGTGCTCTTGTGTGCCTTCGGTTGGGGGCTTGGCGGCAGCGCGGCGTGTTTGAGGCCGGCCGGCTGTCCGGAGGCATCTGAGGTGCAGCGGGAGGGGCCTGGGGCTGTGTGCAGGAGGGCCGGGGGACTGCAGGCCTTGGCTGACCCGCTGCTGGGGCCGGCCTGCTCCTCCTCCAAGCGATACGTGTGTCCTTTTTCCCTTTCCTCTGTGGGCGCTGAAGCGTGGAGCAGGGAACACCTCCTGTCGTGCTTCCCTGGTGAAAGTGTTTTGGTGTGTTCTGTTTCTGTTGTTGTTTGTTTGTTTGTTAAGGGCTTCTATGCTGTGTGCCTGAAATGACGAGGTAGATTCGTAGAATATCCCAAATTGGAAGGTGCCCATAAAGACCACTGGCCACACAGGACCACCCAAAAATCAGACTGGTCTGAGAGCAGTGTCCCAACGCTCCCTGAGCTCCAGCAGCTCGGGCTGTGCCTGCTGCCCTGGGCAGCCTGTTCCTCTGGGACAGATCCTTTTCCTGATATCCAACTTGAACCTTCCCTGAGATCCAAAAAAATCTGTTTGCTTAAGCCAAAACTCAATGTGAAGAGATTGTGTGATAGAGGTTAGGAGTGATTCTGCACGCTGGGGTCTCTGTGCTCAGGTTTATTCTTCATTTGAGATGAATAAACTTCTGGTTGGGACCCCATCTCTTACCCCATCTCCTGTTTCTGACTTGGCAGGCTCAAAATGAGGCACCTGAAATTTTTTTCCCATATTGCAAATTTTCACTTCTTTGTGGAGTTTTCAAAATGACTCTAGAAATTATAAGAGCCAAAAAAAGTATTTATTTCAGCTTTTCTATGCTGTGAAATTTAGCATTGATCTGGTATTTCTTCTTATTTTTTGTAAGCCTCTGAAATATTGATAATGATGTAATTTAAACTAAAATCCATTTTCTGGATCCAGAGGCACATTTCTTTCACTTTGTGTCCAAGCTGTGACACTGCTCTCTAATCAGTGTTGTTCAGCTGTAGGGACACTCCTGTTACCTTCCGTTCTGCCCAGGCAATGTGAATAAAATGAAATACATGTTATGAGACTTTGGTTCTTATATCTTCGCCACGTCATTTTTTTTTTAGTACTGTTTCACTCACATCACTGTAGATTCCCTCAACTGTTTGAAAGCTGTGTTAATCTGCAGTTTACATTTTGTATCGGTGCCTGAACCAATGCACACGATCACATACTTTCTATCACATACTTTCTGTTGAATGAAGTTGGACTCACAGTTAATTTCAGAGTGGACCGAAATATTTCTGAGCCTAAAAGTGCTGTTGACAATTGAAATACAGTCCCACGAGCGCATTTGGGAAATGGACAGGAGAATGCAAGGCTTTAGATTGCCTCCTTAGTTTATGATGTCAGGAGACAGGCAGAACGCATTAAAACAGCCTGCTGGAGCAGGTAGTTCAGCATGACTCTTCAGTAACCAGATTGAAACATTAAGCTCCCCTAAAACAGTCCCCAAATGCTTTTTGTTGTGCCTGAGATATCTGCAGCCTCTCAGTAAGAAGCAGGAATGAAAGTGTCTCACTGTGGCACAAACCTCTTCCCAGGCACGTGCAGCTGGCTCTTAGGTGTTCCCTAAAGCTTCAGCATTTGGCTGGTGTAAAAACTGCTTTGCAGAAGTCATTTCCAGCCTCGGTGTGGCTGCGGTGTGCTGAGGCTGCCACCTGTTCTGTTGTGCCTTTGATTGACTGACCTTGTAAAACACATCCTGTGCTGCTTTTGTTTTTCTGTTTGCTGACGACAGTCACAAGTCATCGCAATGCCAGCGCTGCCGCTGGATGAACTCCAGCTTACAGAAAAGGATCCCAAGACAGGGAAGCTGAGAACCTTACCGGCACTGGTGAGCTGTATTTTTTCATGAAGGCTAAACACAAATAGCTGTCACGTATTGGAACCTGAGCTGAAGGCTGTGTTAGTTCAGGATGTGGTGAAATTCGAACATTCTCCCTGTTTGGTAGATTTTTCTTCGTGTTTTAATGCATTTGTTTAGCTGAGATTTTTTTTTTTAGTGATGGATAAATGAAAGCATACTGTGTTCAACATCCACAATAAATTGTGTTCTCCTTCAAGTCCTTACTCATTCAAAGAATAGCCCTATAAACAATGGGGGCTTTTGCAAGCTGTGTGCAGCGTAGCTCTGAGTTACAGCACTGGGATAGTTCTGCCTGCTAACAGTGTCCTGTGACCTTCTGCCCTGGGATCTCAGGTTGGAACCACAGGGCCAAACTGGAAATCTATGCCTTGTGCTTGTCTAGCACATAGAGTAGCATGCCCGTGCTGTTACACAGGAATATTCAAGGTCGTGCACAGAAATGAAACCCACTGTTACCCTTTTCTTCCAGTAACATGACGGCACGTTCTGAGCCTTCTCCTGGCCGTGTTGCCGAAGTGGGGCCTGCTGCTGGTTTGGCTTGCTCAGATTGCCCTGGGCATCAGTGTGGGCTGAAGCAGAGCTCAAGGCTGCTATTTGTTATGCAGCACGATTCTCATGTTAGGATGGGGGGATTTGGGCAAACTATTCAGTATCTCCTGCGAAGGGTAGCAGAGTGTTTCTTCTCTGTATTTGGTGGTCATGTTGGTTTGGCTTTTTGGAATGTTGTTTGAGAACCAGCTCAGAGGGAAAAGAGGGCGCAGACAACATTTTAAAGGCATGACTTCAAGCTGTTGCTGTTTGGTTTGGAGGTGTGGGAGGGTTGCTTTGCAAGGCTTTGTTAACAGAGTGCAAGTAACATCATCTGCTGAATTATGGAGGTCTGAAAATACAGCTGAAAAATAAGGCTGTGAACTCACTAATCTGAGTTTTTAGTTTGAGTATTAGAGAATAGGAAGTTACCAGAGAACTGAATGACAGACTGTATTATCGTGTAATTTTTCTGTCAGTTTCCAGAAATTCAGCAGTGCAGATGGGAACTGGGCATTCCTGCCACTTGCTCTCTGGTTTTAATACAGTGTTTTGGCTTCCTGCAGCACCCAGAAATCAAAGCAGATCGGTCTTTTGTGCTATACAGACCGCCACCTGTTGTCAGAGACCCTGCCTTAGTGGAAGAATTCTTGGAGCGAGCCAAATTCATTGCAGATGATCTGGACTGGCTTCTGGCTTTGCCTCACGATAAGTTCTGGTGCCAGGTAATGATTGTTTTGTGGATGCTGGAGAAAAAACATGAATGGTGCAGGTGCTTCCAAAAGCCACGCGTTTTAAGTTGTCTTCATAAAGACTTGCTTATGCTTTTATTACGTCGTTTATCGAGGATTTTAATTACTGCACTGTAGAACACGAAGTAATATTTTCTTATAGGCTTGAAATTTAAGAGCTGATGTGTGATGGACAGACACTGCTAGCACTCTGAGGTGTCTCAGTGTGCTTCTCAGCTCAGCTGTGAGCACGACCTGTGGCGTTCCTTCTTTCCATTCTCTCGTCTCCTGTTGCACAAGGTAATCTTCGATGAGACCCTTCAGAAATGCCTGGATTCCTACCTGTGCTGCGCCCCTCGCAAGTTCGATGTGCTGTTGGATTGCCATCCAGAGGTCAGTGACGTGCAGAAGCGTCTCCAGCGCAGCGTCTTTCTGACTTTCCTAAGGATGTCCACTCACAAGGAGTCCAAGGTGAGTATTGCTCTGCCTTGCAGGCACCGCGGGCTGCATAGCTTTGGAAAAAAGGCAATTTGAGAAGTGAATCACGTTTCTTATTCGCATGCCCTAGCTGCATTCCTCTCTGTCTGTTTTTATCAGTGTTGCTCAGTGTGGAGGTGATAACCACTCAGAGCTAAAGCATCTGAACTATGCCATGATTTCTTAGGGAGATCCTGGCAAACAACTAATTAATGGCAAGTTAGAAATGTGTGGTGCCACAGTGCATCAGTGTGACTAGAAAAAAAGAGCAAGTTGGCCTTTGTGGCTGCATGGAACAGAGGCTTTTCAGGCCACCAGGAGCCAGGTGTTCACTCTCTCAATCCCACTTCACCTTGCAGTGCAGCTCTGTGTCATCCAGCTGTGCTGATACTTGTCTCTGCTTGAACTTTCTCCGTGTTTTGGACGCACACCAACTTTACTCCGGATTACTATTTTCTTGGCATCATAATTGAAAGGCACACTCATCCCTAATTGTGTGAGTGCAGCTCCCATGGGCAGCTGTGGAATTCTCACAAGGCCTGTGGGCAGGATGAGGCACCTTGTGTTTTACCAATTGCTGCCTTGGTATCTTCCTTGGTTCAGTGTGTGTTACGTAGTGGTGGGGCCTTGATGATCGCACTGGTGGCTGTCAGCACATCGAGGAGAGGTCCTGGAGTGGGAACTGGAGGACTGGGGAGGCAGTGAGTGAAAGGAATGCTGGAGCCTGCAGCTGGCACCGCTTCAGCAAAAGTACTCGACACCTCTGTGGTGCCTTTCATTGCAGGTCTGATTAAATCCTGCCCCCCCAATGAGGCAGACAAGCATCTGAAACCATTTCATAGTTGAGTAATTTGAAGAGAATGAATAGTCTGTTGTCGTGCAGGCAGTCAGCAGCAGTTCTAGAAATTGAACCTAGCCAGCATAAAGCCTGCTGCTCTGGGAGGGACAGTGTGCATTCTGCCTTTCACAGAGATTGAAAACATTTGCCATCTAGGCAAATCTGCTGAAAGTCACTGACATGAAAATTGCATTTCAGCTTGCTTGCTTCCTGCTGTTACAAACAATGGAATTTTTTGTCATCTATAGCTTTAAAAGAAATTCCTTGGATATTATAAGTCATGTGTTTTGGAAGCTTTTAGCAGTCAGGATATAGAGATGCAATTCCTGTTGGCTTTTTTTCTTCCTACTTTTAGACAGTGACACAATGGCTTTGATGCCTTCGTTCTTCTTTTCCAGGATACCAATAGCATCAGGCTGTGATTTTGTGGGTACTTTTTCGGTGCCAGTTGAACTGTTCCTGTGCCTGGCTGCTCACTGCTCCTCCTGAGCTGAGTCCTTTTCATGCCAGTCCAGCTGTTTACTTGGCCACGTAGCTGAGCCAGGTCTGGGAACTGAACCAACTGCAAACAGCCCTGTGATTTAACTTCTAGGTGGATCGGTGCAGTGGAGGACACAACTACCTCCATAAGCAGTGGTGCAAAGTCAGTGGTGTGGATGGAGTGGTGACAGAGACAGCTGGGAGCGTGGGGGTAAAACAGACTGCAAAAGCTGGTGTATGGCCAGTGCTGCCTCCTGGGAAACAGAACCTTTAAGGCACATGCAAGAGATGCTTTTACAAATGCCATCGTGATACTGCAGTTCTTGCTAAGTAACGTCCAGATTGTTCTTTAAGTGTATGTTTTGTTTCCTTGTAGGATCACTTTATCACTCCCTCTGTCTTTGGAGAAATTATTTACAACAATTTCCTGTTTGACATCCCTAAGATACTGGATCTCTGTGTGCTTTTTGGAAAGGGAAATGGTCCTCTGCTCCAGAAGATGATTGGTTAGTAAAAGCCAAGGAACAGCTTGTTGCATTTTTCTTACTGTGTGCAATACCCCTCTTCTTGCCTGCCATTCTAATAATACTACTCTGGAAAAAAAACCAAGAACCCATAGTTTAGTAGCAGCTGTAGTTTCTAGTAGTTTGGTAGTCTATAGTTTCTGGATCAGATGACATTTTTCCTCTTTTCTCCTCCTTATGAACTCCATGTATGTCAAAAAGTGCTTTGTGGCCAGCTGCTTAGCTGGCATGAGCTGGACTCAAGATGCTAGGCATTGCCCAGGGCTCAGTTATTTCCTTGTCCTCAACCACTGGGTAAGAGGATCGGGAGGGCTTTGCAAAGCCCTGCACAAGAATGAAAGGAGCAGCGAACTGGATTTCTGGGCAGAAAGGAGGTGGGGCAAAGTCCCACAGTTCATGTGATGCTTTTGTTCCCAGAGCTGGGAGCTGAGTGAAATGTGCAACAAGAAGTAATTACTGGTCCCTGAAGTGGGAGAACTTGAAATTTCAATGCAGACCTTGATAAAACAGTGCCTTCAAATTGCAAGGTGCTTCAGAGCGTTGCTCAAGCAGTGCTTATCTTATCCCAAGATATCTCTGTACAGTCACTCGCTGTGGCCAGTGCATGTTAAGCAATGTCTCAGCCGTGGGGACACTGGAACCTGCATGAAGAAGAAGGCATGTTGGCTTAGCTTCTGTGTTTGTCCTTTGCAAGGGAACTACCTCTGACCTTTAACATCCACCTGAGCACAAATGGAACAGAACTGACCTTGGATTAAGTGAGATCTTCCTAAATTCTAACCCAGTTTGTCTACAGTTCCTGTAATGAAACTTTTTCCTCTCGTTGGTAGTTATTTTTGTCTCTTTTCCAAGTAGACCAGCATGAGAAGCAGTAGAGAGATCACATGGCAGCCGTATTTCCAGACCAGGAAAACTTGGAGGCTTAGAATTTTTGGATCCCTTTGTCTTTTTCAGTAACTTTCATTCTAAATTTAGCAGTCAGGCCTCGGAGGTAGGGAAGAAAGCGTGACAAGCTGGGTGCTTCCCTTCCAAATGTGAAGTTTAAATTATCTGTGCCTTAAAACATTCCAAAGAAAACCCAACTGAGTGGGAGCTCATTGGAATTATCCATGTCCTTTGGGTGCAGTGCAGTAACTCCGTGTGCAATTTGTTCACCTGATTATTTGCTTTATGCTGTCTGCGTAATGATGGGAGCTGGGTAATTCATAAATTGATAAACTTCAGGTTCTTCTCTGGGAATAAATTCTTCTGAGACCTGTCTCATAACTCTTAGCCGTGCTCTGTCCTTGCTGGAGAACTCTGTTAATTTTCACAGTCAGAACAGTAACTCACAGGAAAATAGGCAGCCTCTGTGCTTCCCTGCGCAGGATTTATGGCATGCCATTACTCAGTAGAGTATTTTGTAAAGATAATGAAGTCCTAGTAATGTAATAGCAGGTATTACTAAAGCCTCATTACCTTTAAGAAATATCCTACAGAATATTTTCCAGTGTATGCTGAACTGTTATCAGTAATTAAAAGTCAACTGCAGTTGTTAAATAAAGGAACTGGGAATGTTTCGAGATGATGTTTGCATTATTCATCGATTCAGCCTCAGGTGTGAATCATCTGCCATCTCGTTTGCTCTGCTCTGGTGAGCATATTCCAGTCCTCTGGTTGCTGATGGGACAGCCTGAGAGGAGCAGGCACTGTGTGTGAGTTGAGAAGTGAGTTTGTGCCCAGCTCCTGATGAGGTTATTGACCATCTCTGGAGGGGGCGAGGGGTGTCAGCAATAAAAGCACATCTTCTGGTGGACATTTGCTTGTTGACGTGTCTGAACTGATGGCAGCTGGTCTTGTTCCCTTTTCAGAAAATATCTTCACTCAGCAGCCGAGTTACTTTGGTGACCTGGACGAAACTCTGCCCACTGTCCTGCAGGTACTGCTGTTCTGCTCAGGGCTTGGATTTCACCGGGAAATGTGGCATAGTTTAGAGGGAGGGAGGGAGCGAGCAAATGTGGTCGTGGGCCAGCAGGATGTATTTGTTTCAGTTCATATTATCTCTCTTACTTGTGCTCGAGTGTGTCAGGCAGTTTTTGGACCTTTATCTAAAACTATTGCTTGATGACTAATTCCTGTTACCCTTCTTCAGCTTCTGCCATTCTCTTGCCAGTTAATCCCAAGGAATTTGTTAGGCTGTTTAAACAAGAGGTAACTATTCTTCTTATCTCTCCCTGAGTGGGGAAGCATTAAAACTTCAAACAACAAAATAATGACTGTGAGAGGCAGCTAAGGCTTGATATAGTGGAATGGGTTGGCATTAATGCTGCAGGTTCTTGGGAGCAAATGAAAATCTATTGGAAGGACTGTGCCTCACAAAAGATATTTGGCATCTCTCTCTGTCTCAGCTTTCATTTTAATAAGCAATTTGTATATTCCCCAGACTTTGTAGGCAGGATTTGCATTTAACCTGAAAGGGAAATCAAAGTGCCTTGACAGCTTTGTACCCTGAAAATGTCGTGTTTATGCCCTCAAAAAACTCACCTAAACCAGACAAGGGCAGAAAATCTCTTACCCCAAAACACCTATAATGGCACTTGGCTTTTTGAAAGCCCACATTCTCCTTTCTTTGTGTATGTTAAACTGTTGGAGCTGGATTTCAGAGATGATATCACATTTTAAAAATATTCTAGGCTGCTAGACTGGGCCTTAAAGGAATTACTGAGGAAGACAGAAAAGATTCCATTTGCTGTTTGAACTGCACCACATCAGAACAGTTATTCTGCAGAACACCGGTTTCTTTACTGTGTGTTTTGGTAACACTGCAGAGTAACACCAGTGTATCTCACATGTATGGACGGAACAGTTCAAAAGATGCATCATCACTGATCCATTAAACTATTTCCTTACCCTGCTGATGAACGAAGTCGATACCCCTGCAGGTCTAGGAGTGTTTGTGCCCAGTGGGACAGTAATATTAACCTCGGGTATGCAGCTCTGGTACTTTTAGCCAGCTTTTCACATTCCTCTGGGAGGAGGGTTTGACAAATCTCCAAAGCTACCAATGTAGAAAATTTCACGGAATGGTTGAGGTTGGAAGGGATTTGCTTTTAACCTACACCAAAGGCTTTTAGTAATCTTGAACCTAATTCGGTCAGCTTCTGGAATTCTTCATTTGTATCTAAGAGCCCCGGGATCTGTTCTGCTAACCTCAGAGCAGAGGGTGGGAGGGCTTTGGAATCACCTCATAAGCGTGTGGTGGTGTTGACTTCTATGTTGTTCCACTGCTGCCTTGCCAGTAGGGCTCACCACATACCAGGTGACCCCAGTGTTGGTCTTTGTAGACCTTTTCTTGCCTAGTTGGGGACGTGTGTTGTAGCTACAGCCCTGTCTCAATGCCACTGGCACACACAGCTGCACTGGAACTGCTTGTAGCTCTCACGTTGCTCCACAAGTGGTGTGGTCCTTCTGCTGTTACCTGCAAGAGTCTGTTGCAGCTTTCATCATACAGCTCTGTGCTGCTGTGTGGAGATAGTCACGTGTTGCACAGTAGATCATGGAAGTGGTTGTTAGTAAGATAAGGCACGTCCCAGTGCTTTCCTCTGTCTGTTTCAACACTGTTCTCTTCTCTCGATCTAGGTGTTCAACAATATTTTGCATAAGTGTGGCTTGCAGTGTGAAGGAGCCTCTGCTGAGCCCCAGAAACTGGAAGAAAGAGTGAATGTGACCCCAGGGAACATGCCCCTGCAGGTAGAACCATTGCTCTGTGCACTTTGCTGTTTGTCATCCTGCAGACCGAATGCTCCCTGCAGCATTGGGACCACAGAGGGTCGTTCTGTTCCCAGACAGCTCATACAGCACATGTCATTGTTCCATTGCTTGGCATATGACTTGGTGACAAAGCCTTTCCAACGTGAGTTTCTTGCTTTGCTCTTGTGCATTTCAAGCACATCCATTGTGTCACGTGTCCTGCAGTCAAGAAAAAGATTTAACCTGAATCTGATGCATTCCCTGTCAGAGTGGATTGTACTGTGTACTTAGGAGAGCTCGTGTGGTTCTTTCCTCTCACTGATTGTTCATTCTCTCTCAGGAGCTGAAGGATATTGTGCTGTACTTGTGTGACACTTGCACAACACTCTGGGCATTTCTTGATGTCTTCCCATTGGCTTGCCAGACCTTTCAAAAACACGAGTTTTGCTACAGGTACATCTTGGGCTGCTGACAGTTTATTTTGGTCGATTAAAAATACTGAGCGTTCAGCAGGATCTTGCCCCAGTGCCTTCATTGTTAATTGCTCAGATTTAGTGCAGCTGAAGAGTGCTGGATTCAGACTGATGGGAACATGCAGGTTCCTAGTAAATGAAACAAGTTATTATGGAGGTGTCTGCAGTTCCTGCTAAGTGTTTACCTTCATCATTGCCCGTGAGCCAGTCAACCACGGCAATTTCAAATCCCATTTGAACATTACTCAGTGTCCTTTGGAAGGGATGGAGAAAAAGCTGCAGATGGAAAGAGTTTCTTGCCATAGGACTTGAGGAAGGGGAAGGGGAGAAAGTTTTTGAACTGATAGCCTGTCGGGGTCTGAGAAGAAATATTTTTGCTTGATGTTGGACCTCAGTTTTATGCTAGGGAATATCAGTGAGCTTTGGCAAAAGCTGAGCGCGTGGGAATGGATAACAAGGCAGCACTGGCACAGATGGGCTGACAGCTAATTCCCTGACCAACTCCAGTTTGCAGTGCAGTGAGGCAGGAGCCAGAATGGTCGCAAGGAGCAGACAGCAGAGTGTTCCCACAGGCACTGCAAGTCCTTGAGTGATGCTTACCCAGCCTGCCCCAGGTGTTTCAAGCCACAGGACTGTCTGGTAGAGACTTGCCACAACCACTTTTGTGTAGCACCAACTGAGATGTTAATTTATTGTCCTTATTTCCCCTTCTTTATGTGTTTGTTAGTTCAGATGAACTCATTCTTTACTGTTATTTCTGACCACGTTGCAGACCTCTGAAGTCTTGCAGCTGCCAGTGGTCTATGGACCGCAGGCTGAGTAATGCTGCTGCTCCAGGTTGTGTGGGTTTCTCTCCTCTTAGGTGTTGTCAAGTTGGTTATTGAAAGAAGAGCAGATTGGTGGACTGCTGGTGGCTGCTTGGATTGGAAAGCAGCACTGCTTACATGCTTGATTACTCAGAGCAGTAAAGCTTTTTGCTTTTAGTTTTGCTGTTGATGTCAGAGACGTGCTAAAATATTCTTGATCTTTGCAATGGGTCAACAGCAACATTTTTATTACTTCCCAATACAGGCTGCTTTCTGGGTCTTAGGGGTGTGGGGAGGGAAATTTGACTTACATGTCCTGCTTTTGAAACCTCTCGGACTCCAAATCTGTTGGCAGTTGGCCGTTTCTCTCACTGACTAAAAGTATCAACCAGCTTCTGTTACATTTGCCTCAAGGATGCTCATTTAACATGCCTGCCTCTTACTGTGTGACATGGATGGGATGTTGCTGATGGAGCAGCTCTGTGCAAAGCACAGTGACGGCTCATGAAGCAGCGCTGGATGTTATTTTGAGGCCAATCTCAGCTGAGGGTGTTGTTCTGTGCAGCAGGAAGATGCTTTTCAACTACATTGCTTTGCCTCCATCTTCAAAGATACCTTGATGGCTTCCTCAGGCTGCTGCTCTTTGTCTGTTGTGTATTACCTTGCTTCTGTTTCATGAAACAAGTAACAAAGCAGAATAATGCTAACGAGTACTGCTAGTGAGGGGAGCTTAATGGAATAAACCATTTGATTTGTATTCTAGCAAGTGATTTTGGGAGCATCCATTGCCAGTTGTTGTGTCGCCCCTTTCTACAGGTTGGCATCGTTCTATGAGCTGGCAATTCCTGAGCTGGAGTCTGCAATTAAGAGGAGGCATTATGAAGATAACAGGTAAAAATCTCTGTGAAGACTTGCCTTTTCTTTTCAATCTGACTCTTGCAGGGCTTGGTTAAAAATGCTTCAGGGTTTGCCCACCACTGCAGAGTCTTTTCCATCTTTCTTTGTGCTGCTTCACAGAGCTCTGAAGAAGCAGCTTTTCTAATTCCAAATTTTCCTGGGCAGTGGGGTGAGAAATCATTTCTTTCAGTGCTGTCTAAGAAGAACCTTGATGGGAGATGCATCCAAATTGTAACAAAGTGTGAAAACATGAATGATATCTCTGTGTAGATGGGTCTCCTTGTTTTTCAAAGCACAGGCTATGCTGGTGCACTTGATGTATCATTTGTCTGGCTGTCAGGCCAATTTCCTATTGAGAGCAGCTTCATTTAGAGTGAGGATTTTCCTTAATGAGTATGAAATGGCTCTCATCTCTGGTCCTCACAGCAAAGAATTCAGCTAATGAAATTCCTCCTCTAGAGGTGTAACTCTGGAGGAAAGGAGCATTAAAGATCTGAATTTGTTGTGCTTGCACCAACAGTGTGATCTTTACTCTCTCTGCAGTGTTTATGCTGATTTGTGGAGGAGAATTTCGCATTCCAGGAAGAAGGTGATGGAGGCCTTTCACATCCTCATAAACCAAGTGTGTCTGCAGCCCATCTTAGAGAGCAGGTATTGGCACTTGGGTTTTGTGGTACTCTCCAGTTATTTGATCACCACTGTGGGGGAAAATTTTGTTTGGTTTCTGATTTACTGGAGAAAATGGGCAGTGTGGGAGTTGTGCTGACATCAGAAGCCTCTTATCCTGCACAGCAGGAATGCCCCAGATGAAGTAATATGAACTGGTACTGGATTGGTGAGTTGTTGGCCCCAGCAAAGTGAGTTAAGGTACATGATCCAATCAGTTTGTTAACCTCACTTCATGGCTAACTGGCAAATTCTAATGCTGTGCATTCTGCAGCTGTGAGAATATTCAATCTTGTGTTGAAGAGTTCCTACAGATCTTTGGAGAAACCGTACTGGACATAATGCAGTGCTATAGATCATTGAAAGCAATGTTTTTAAACCTGGATGCTGATGGCTTTACTGCCCCCTCCTATTTTGAAAATAGTTAGCTAATGAGAAGTACTTCTTATCTGTAGCTCTGTGTCATTTCAAAATGACTTTGTTTCTTATTTACTTTGTAAATAAGAGAACTGAAGTGACCCAAAATCATGTTGCAAATTTGGAGATGAAACCAAAAAAACATGGATCTTGGTTGGTGCTCTGCTGGGCTGGTCTCTTTGCCTGCAGTCGTTACAAGTTTTCATAGAATCACAGAATGGCCTGGGTTGCAAAGGAGCACAGTGCTCATCAGTTCCAACCCCTGCTGTGTGCAGGTCACCAACCAGCAGCCCAGGCTGCCCAGAGCCACATCCAGCCTGGCCTCGAATGCCTGCAGGGATGGGGCATCCACAGTCTCCTTGGGCAGCCTGTGCCAGTTTTCTAGACTGCTGGTCTCTGTGGCTCCCATTCAGCACTTTCTTAATACTGATCCAGTGCAGAGGTCGTTCTGGCTTGCTCTGACATTTGGTGCATCAGCTGCAATGGAAGGTTTAGGAGTTAGAACAGAAAGATTGCAAGAGGAGCTTGCTTGGCATCTGTTCTTGCATGAGTGAGCACAGGCTTTCTGGGAGGCTCACTGATACGATCCCAAGGCATGTAATAGAGTGCAATTGCAAAAGTGCTACACACCCTTTTCTGCTTATTGCAAGTCTGAGGCATCAGATGATTTGTAAGCCTGTAAGAAGCCTTGTAATTGTAACTGTGGTAACACTTTGGATCAAGCTGGCTGAAATGTTTGCTAAAGCCATAAAAGAATTTTGTTTCCATTTGACCCTTAGCGTGTATGAAAGCAAAGACTAAAATCTGTTCTCAAATGTGGTTTTGCCTTGATGTATGAAGTGTTATTAGTTTGGCTACTGAGCAGAATGTGGAGACTGTGCATTGTGGAGGTCTTACCACTGAGTTTTTCACTCTGTTGTGCCATTGTTTTCTGCAGCTGTGAGAATATTCAACCTTATATTGAAGAGTTCCTACAGATCTTTACTTCGGTACTTCAGGAAAGGAGGTGAGTGTGGCTGAAAGAGGCCCATGGGGATGGGCAGCTTGCCTTCCCTTTCCATTCTTTACAGCAGAATTGCCTGAGACATTATTAGGAGGGGTTATGATGCGTTTGGGAGTTAGAAATCACTCTAACTAGTTGGAGGAGCAGCTGTGAGAGAGTTTCAAACTGTGGTACAGACTTCATTGTAAAGATGAGGAGGAATGTTGTATGACACTGAAGAATATTATTCTTCACTCTCTTTAATCCGGGCCTTCAAAGTGAGGAATAGCAATTTAGCCATTAGCTGCCTTGATGAGTGAGGCTGTTATTACTAATTTGTGCTTCTCAACCGGGGTGACCAAACCAGGAAGATACCGAGTGCTAATGCTGAAGATGCAAAGTCAGTGGCAGAGCTGGGAATTGGATCTTGTCATCCTGGCACTGCAGACATTCTGATCACATTCAAATCATAAACCATGTTTGCTATATGATGCCACAGCAGGTTACAGTCTTACCATGTGAGGAGTGCTGCAGCTGGGTATGATGGGTTACAGCAAAGCGTTGCTGCAGCACCATGGAAGCAAAGTCAGGGTGATGCATGCTGGAATTCTGTGTTGAGTGGGAGACAACCAGAGTGGCATAGCAGGGATGGCAGTGTGTCACAGGTCTGCAGGTAATTTATTCCACAGTCCAACTGATTAAACTTGCTTTTGCATGGTTAGATTTCTCCGTGACTATGATGAGCTGTTTCCAGTTGAAGATGATGTCAGTCTGCTCCAACAGGCTTCGTCCACGCTGTATCCTTTGCTCTCGCCTCAGGGGTTTGCAAACCTGAATGCTCTTGGATTCCTTTATGCTGGTGGCATTTCCACTCTTGCTGCCTCTGGCTAACCTGCGTGGCTGGCAGTAAGAGATGGAAAATTTTATCTTAAAAAAAAAAAAAGAGGAGAATCTCAGAATCACAGACTGGTTGGAGGGGAATGGGCCTTTGGAGGCCATCTGGTCCAGCCCATAGAGGCACAGGCTTGGGAGTTACCGAAAAATGCATAGCTGTTTCAAGGTGAGATTTAGAATATGTGCATCTAGAACATGAGAAATGTCCTTAATGCTGTTCATGTAGAGATGAGACCAGGGCAGCGTACATCCTCCAGGCAGTGGAAAGTGCATGGGAAGGTGTGGACAGGAAAAAAGCACAAGTCATTCAAGATCCAACATCACCAGCAGCTTGCAATGGAGCATCAGCAATGGTGGAGGGCTCCTCTGAGGACAGAGAAGAGCTCGGGGCTGCGTACGCATCGGGAGATGAGGTGGGCAGGGCACATCTCTGTCCTCAGTTCATTCATCTGCAAAGAGGGGATTGGTTTGCTCAACTTCTGGGGTTGTGTGAAGTTTAGTTTCATTTCTCACCTTTGCTAAATTTAAGTGCAGACTTCTTGAAATGAAGAACAGAGCTGCACTGCATTCTGCCTTCTTTGAGCACATTTCTCCTGACTCCTGTTGGCCTTTCTTGTTGCTGGTTTTCCTGGTGCTGTGGTTAATTCAAATACTGCACTTTATCACTGTAGTTCATGTGCATGTTTCTTTTAAAAGCAAAGTTCTTATGTTATTTGATGTAAGGGTTCTTCAGTGTATCCCTGCTGACTCGAGCATGGACAAACAAAGTTGTGTGCCTGTGTGCCCAGCTCTGTTGTAGATCTTATGCAGTATGAACAGCTTAGCTGATTTTTCTTCTTCTGATTTCAGCCTTCAAATTCTTTGTGTTTAAACACTGATAACCCAGACTGCTCCTTTTCCTTTTTTAATGTGTGTCTACCTTCCCTCATCTGCTGTTTCTTTCCAATGATGCCACTCACTGTGCTGGGTTATACAGTGTGCTGGGGCAGCTGCTGCACCCACTGCCAAGGTGTCCGGGGTGGAGCTGGACTCTCTGATCTCCCAAGTGAAAGACCTGCTACCAGAGCTCGGGGAGGGCTTCATCCTGGCCTGCCTGGAGGAGTACAGTTACAGTGCAGAGCAAGTGATCAACAACATCCTTGAAGATAAGCTGGTGCCGTTCTTGGATAAACTGGACCGAACAATGCAAAGGTGTGGGGGACTTTGGCACTTTTGTTTTCCTGTTGTGGATTATTAATATCCTTCTTTTTGAAGGTTAGAGACCTCTGGCAGAGGAGTTCTAAGAAGTTGTATGTATTTTCTTAGGGTAGTTAGCTGCAGGGTAAGCTTCTCTTTGCTGTATGCTGCTGACTTTTTGACCTCATTGTGTACTTGCAGAGAATGGGAACATAACTGTAAAATGGATGGGAGGATTAACTTGTAGGTAAGCTTGGGAAGGGTAATACAAATGAGTGGACAGTGAGGTGGGTTGAAAACTGTGTGACTGGCAGAGCTCAGAATGTTGCTGTCAGTAGCACATCCTGGTTGGAAGCCTGTAGCTAGCACTGTTCCCATGGGGCTGGTTCTGGGTCTCATTTGACACCTCCATCCATGACCTGAATGAAGGGATGGAGTGCGAGGAGTGGCTGACACACCAGAAGGCTGTGCTGCCTTCAGCAGACCTGGACAGGCTGAGAGTTGGGCAGAGAGGAACCTGATGAGGTTCTGCAAGGGAAAGTGCAGAGTCCTACACCTGGGGAGGAATAACTCCTCCCCTCTGCTCTGTGCTGGAGAGGCCACATCTGCAGCACTGTGTCCAGTTCTGGGCTCATCACTTCAAGGCAGACATGGAACTGCTGGAGAGAGTCCAGCATGGGGAAGAGCAGAGGGAGAGAAGGGGCGATGCCGAGAGGATGGGGCCAGGGCTGTTTGCAGTGGTGCCCAACTGGAACGTGGGGAGTTCCATGTGAACATGAGAAAGGACTTCTTGACTTCGAGGGTGGCAGAGCACTGGAATAATCTGCCCAGAGGTGGCAGAATCTCCTCCTCTGGAGGTATTCAAAACCCACCTGGATGTTTTCCTGTGCAACTTGCTTTAGCAGTGGGGTTGGACTTGGGGAGCTCCAGAGGTCCCTTCCAAGCCCTATGATTCTGTGATTCTGTTCAGTATTTCAGCACAGCAGATGCTGGCTCATGTTTTGTGATTGGAAGACAGAAATACTTGTCCATTAAATGCTCAGATAAGAGCCATGAAAATTCCACCATGGGGACACTGGTTTAATTTAGGCTGGCCAGCAGTACGTTGTTGTGCACTGAAGGTATTTTGCTGCAGAAGACGGGGTCATAGGTGTTAAAGTGCCAGCTGTCCTGCAGGAAAGGGCATCTTCAGTGGAACCAGTTCAGCTGGAATTCATTCTGTGGGGTAAAATACAGTATTTGAAAGACTGCTTTGTGTTTGGAGTTAAGCCAGGGAAGCAGAATTACAAATGAACTGGAAGTGGCCATTCGGATCCATTTCTACCTTCCCTGTGACAAACTTGCCAAGCTTTTGCTCGCTTCTCTGGGCTGTGCTCGGGATGTAGGGATCATAGCTGACAGTGGAATTGAGCTGTTTGAGCTGTGTGCAGCTGTCAGTGTGTTTGTGCTGCAGCAGCAGTTCTTGTCTGAGCGCAGGATGAGGATGTGCTGCTTGTTCCCATTTCACGGAGCAGCGGGCAGACTCTCATTGTTGCACTAAAAAAGGAGAACCGTTTTTATCAGAGAAGCGACGTAACGAAAATCTGAGTTCTGCAACAATCTTCATGCTCTCAGAGTCGGATCTGCTGACTTGGGCACAAATGATGTGGGTGGATTTTTGGAAGGTGGTTGTTTTTCTGCTGGTACTGCAAAGCCAGCAGTTCTAGAAGATAGAGCCGGGTGGTGGTTTGGTTTTTTTCCCCTTGCATTTTGGAACAAAACTGTAGGATTTTGATCGCTGCTGAGTTTAGAAGCGAGCACAGCAGCATTTCCAGCTGCCCAGCTGAGCTAACAGCACCAACAAAATGAACGTAAGAGCAATGGGTTTTGGACTTCCAAACTGAACAACCATAACCTGGAACTTGAGATAGAATTAAAAAGGAGCCGTAGGGAGATAAATATCCTGAATGCAACAGCAGGGCTCTATTGGAACTTGTAGCACAGTGTAATCCATCACACTTAGAGTTTGGCTTTACTGACTCAGGATTTTGAGACCAGCCCATGATGTTCTCCATGCTCGGGTACGGCTGTACTTATTCTTGCAATGATCAGATTTTGATTTCTGCCAATTCCTTTGGCTTCCCCAGAGAGATTGGTCTGAAAAGCTGTTCTGCAGGTGCTGTACTGCAGCAGCACAAAGAGATTGCAGTCATGGTGTGGGTGATGGTGTGCTGTGGGTGCCTGCGAGATCCACAGCACAAACCAAGGTCTTAGAAGGAGAGGACGTGGTCTTCCTCAGCTTCACCATTCCATTCTCTTGTTTTTTGATTTTACAGACAGCCAAAGCCAGACCCTACGCCTCTGGTCGCTGCTCGCCACAATGTTTTCCAGAATGATGAGTTTGATGTGTTCAGTAGGGATTCAGTGGATGTTTCTCGGATACAGAAAGGCAAGCGGTGAGTATCGTGCCTCCTCAATTAACCCCATCTGTCAGGAGAAATACATACCTGGGAGCCTACACGTTTATTCCTGTTCTTGCAGTCCTCCTGCAGGAATTGGCTGGCAGGACTGAGCCTTATCAGAAATGTTCCCCACCTGTTTACTCTTTTGCTTTGGGAAAGTAAAATCGAACGCCACCAGGAGATTGGTTTCCGCTCGGTGTTTTTCCTAATTGCCTTTCCTCTGTCGCTGCTGGCAGCTGCTCTGCCAAGCTCATTTGTAATGTTGTGCTTTTTCATCTTGCTCCTAAACTTACACTGAAGAACCTGAAAAGCAGCCATCTCTACCGGGCTGTGATTGTGACTCGGAGATAAAGCAGTGATTTGTTCTAAATACAAGGGAAGTTTCAATATCCATCCGCTCCACAATCTGATAAAGCCTGGCAGCTTGGACTCCTCTGCTTCTATTGTTGCTCCTGCTCCTGTAAGCCTGCTGTGAAGGGCATTTGCTTTACTTCTTGCCTGGCTGGGCATTTTGTTCTGTGCCACACTCCGTGCTGATTTCAGCTGGGGCATTGCTTTCTTGGCTCCCACTAACATCAACTGTATCTCAATAACACGGTTGATTTGTTCCAGATTCTTTTTGAACAGTCTTTCATCTAATCAGCTAAGTGCCATCTTTATGTTGGTGTATATTAGGAAGGAATGTAAATAAAAGTGTCTGCAGGCTGAGCTACGTGATCCTGGGAGCTCTCAGTTAAGGCTTCAGTTGCAAAGCTGCATTGAGCTAACAGAGAAAACACTTCTGTCCCAAAGCACAGACAGACAGATCTCCAGCAGCAGTGCTGTGGTGTTTCCTCTGTAGCGGCCGGGCAAGAGAATAATCTTTCCTTTAAGTACAAAAGTGGAGCTCCATCAGTAGTCCTCGTTCCATAAGCAGGAATCCCAAGTGTCTGCCTAGGTAACAGAGTTCTCCTGGCCCGGCTGGAGACCTGCATTTGATTCTAGTTGTATCCATGGATGTGTTTGGTTGGGATTTTTTTGTTCTCCTTAAATCTTTTCCTCTCCAAATTCTGTCTGCGTTCAGGGTGCTGTCGCTGCTAAAAGAGCCAAGTCAGGCTGAATCTCATTGTGCTAGCTGCTGTGGGCAGGGACTGTTAATATGAAGGAGAAAGCCACACCAGGAAGAGGAGAAAAAGGAATGGGGAAATGAATGCAATAGCATATACGTGATTCTCTGCTGATCTGGAAGAGTGATCACAGCTGTCTCTGCATGTCCAGCCGTGATCGCGGGCTGAATCTGTCTGCTGAAGTCAGAGCAAGCCCTCAACACCAGGCACTGTAACATTTTCCCACTGTTTTTCCTGGAATTGGTGCCTGAAACGTTTCATTGCAGCTCTTCTGCAGTCATCAGACCAGCTCAGCAGGAAGCAATTATTGCATATTTAGTTCAGTCTCATGCTGAATACCAACATAAGATGTTATCCCAGCCGAGGAATGCGAGAACTAACCACAGGATCTGTAGGGCATTTTGCAGCTAAATTCAGGCATAGAACAGAATGAGTCACAGAAGAGAGTGGAAGCAAATGTATCTACAATGTTTGGTTGTTTTCAGATTCCTAATGAAAGTCAGGCTTCTTTGGATCACTTTCCCAGTGCTTGCTAGACACAAGTCTGCCCATTCCTGATACACTGGAGGTTTGCCTTGGACACGTTCTTTCTCTGATAACATCCAGATGTCAAACAGATCACTGATGTGTGTTCCTTCTAGGTTTTGAGGGCTGCAAGATGTCCTGTGAATGCTTGAAAGTGGGTTCCCTATAGCTTTGCTGTCAGTGTGCTGTGATGTGTGGTGCTGTGGTGGTGATAGGTTGGTAGTTGGACCAGATTGTCATAGTGGTCCTTTCCAACCTCAATGATTCTATGAAAATTTCAGGATTTCAGGGAGTGCATGTGCACCCTGAGACATAATGTCCCAGTGGCTCTTCTTAAATACCTCTGTCAAGCTTCTGTTTGCTGGCCTTCCCTTCTGTCGGATGAATATTGTCTGTTGAACTCAGTGTGTGTGCAGTGCTTTGATATACATCAGATCAGAAGCGTGGTCTGCTGCTTTGTTCTCCTTGTCTTAGTAGTGCTAATTCATTTCTGCTGCACTGGTAATTTTTTGTCCCTTTCCCTCTCCATTCATATTTTGCAATCCATGTCTGTAAGCTGAGGCTCTGAACTCTATGGGAATGAGTGTGGCCACGCTGCAGCGCTGTGGTGCAGCCCTGGCCATGGCTTGTAGCTGTGCGTGCACTGCAGTGAGGCAGTACTGCAGCGTGGGGTGAGAGGGCACCCTGGGCCTTGCAGGGCTGTGTCCCAGTGTTAGTCCTAGCAGCCATTCAGGATTCATGGGAATTCTTGTGTTCGATGAATCCCGGCCAAAATTCAGCTTGAGTATAATTGCATCTTCTGTTCAAGCTTCTCTTCTGTCTCAAGTGACAGTGGCAGTCTCCAATTCCTGTTCTGTCTGTTATGTAATCTTGCTGGGGTTCTGCTTAGACATAACTTTGTTCCAAGCCAGGAGTGGCGGCTTTTATTAGCTAGACGAGCACTCCTGTTATAAATCAGAGAGGGAATAGGGAGGCTGAAGTAGTGCTTGTGATGCTTGAGATTTCCACTTCACAGCAGGGGAAAAACTAACTCGCAGAGGAGATCTTTACATTGCCTTTCTGTTCCTGCTCCTTCCTCTCCATGCAGGAGGGAGAAGGACACAACCAGGAGTCTGCTGAACGACAAGCGCCTGGTGGCTGAGCAGAGGGAGCGCTACAGCCAGTACAGCGTGCTGGTGGAGGAGCTGCCTGTGCAGCCAGGAGAAGCCCAGCTCTATGGGGAGGACTACGAGGATGAGTACGACGACACCTACGATGGAAACCAAGTGGGGGCAAACGATGCTGACTCGGATGATGAGCTGATCAGCAGGAGGTAGGATGGGATTGCCGCAGGGTTGTGGGGAGCTGTTCAGCACTTCTCTGCGTTCTGCTTTCAGTGAGGACGTGTGTGCACAGGTCCCTGTTTCTCCTCTGTTGGTTGTTAGCTTTCCTGTACGTGCAGGAAGCTCTCAAGATCCTCCGACTGAATCTGCAGGGCTCAGCCATCACCTCAACTCAGCAACAAATCCAGGAGGGGACTTTGACATTGTGTTGAAATTTACACGCAGTGCTTCTGCTCGTAGGATAGCTGTCCTGCAGCAGGGGGAAATGGCCTGTTTTGAGTAATATGGATGGAGTGCAGCAGGGCAGTGTAAAGCAGAAAGGCTGGTTAGCAGAGAAGTCAAAACTGGAGAAATTGTACAACTGACGTTTTATTGTGTGCCAGTCCTGTTGGGTTTCTCATGCTGGCTCCTGTAATGGGCTGCACAGCGTTCTCCACAGTGACTGACAGCTGGAGACCATCAGCTGATAGTAAGCAAAGTGCTGGTTGGACACGGGTCTTGTAGAATGTTTATTCCAGAAATATGAGCTGGAGATAGCAGAGACACGTCTGAAAAGCTGGTTTAACACTTCTGAAGGTGACTTGTTACATTTCACATGTTCCAGAGATGTCAGTATTTCTACCCTTCTGTCTTTGGAGATGCTCTCTTAGATGCTTTTGCCTTTTTTTTTTTCCTTCTCAAGTGTGGTGAGACTTCAGTTTAAATCCTTTTCATGGTATACCTACAATAGTATGACCCTCAACTCTTTCCCCGTGTTTCAGTTGCTCAGTGCTCTCTGCTTCTAGAGATCCAGCAGGCAAAATTACTGGATGTTACTGCTAAAAATCAGATCCATAGGTTCAAAATAACAGGGGCTCTGGCATTAGTGTGTTTCTGGCAGAGTTTGAGGTTTGACAGTAGAAGCAAAAGAAGCAGTTGTTTCCCTGGTGCAATTCCTTGTGAGGTTCCAGGATTTTCATGACAACTCCTCACCGCCTTTTTTTTTAATTTATTTTTTAACTATTGTGGATTTTTGTTATTGAGAGATACAGTGTGGAGTGGAAAGGATAGGATTGTGCAGTGCAGTGCTTTGGTTGTGCTCTCTTCACTGTGTGCTGTTTGTGTTTTGTTCCTTAGGCCGTTCACAACTCCTCAAGTTCTGAGACTCAAAGGGCAGGAGGAAGGGCAGGAGGAGGAGGAGGAAGAGGAAGAAGAAGAAGAAGAGGAAGTTGAAAAGGAAAGACCAAAGGTGACACTCAGTTTGCTGTTGGAGTTGCATTAAGGTTTATTACATCTCATACCTGCTTCACATGTTAGCGATTGCTAGATAACATAGAGATGATGTGGAACAGATTTTCTCTTTCAAAGAGTGAGCTGCTTTCTGGAGCAGCTGCTTCTGCAGTCTGCTGGGCTGTGAGGTGTCCCCGAGTACAGCTATCTGCTGCTTCCTGGCTAGCCGTGTGGAGCAGTGGCACTCCGTGGAGAGGTTTAATCTCCTTTATTCCATCAGCAGACAACGCCAGCAGAACGCTTTCAGGGTCACTGAGGCTCTGCTGTCGTGGATATACTGGAAATGGTGCTATTGATGCGGGGTGTGGGAAGCAGCCTGTCAGTTTTTATATTTAGTGTCACTGACACCAACCCCACAAGCTCTGCCAGAACAGATAATAAATAACAAATGGGCTCTGTTTCATGCTCCAGCAGAACCTGCTCCAGCCCTCTGATGGATGCCGCTGAGCTCACAGCAGCACTCATCTCTTTCCTTCTTTCCCATGCAGGACCACTTTGTTCAGGACCCAGCTGTGCTGCGGGAGAGAGCTGAAGCCAGGAGGCTGGCTTTCCTTGCCAGGAAGGGGTAAGTCGGTGTCTCCCCTGCAGGGTGGAGCCATGGCTCTGCTGTCATTAGTGAATATCTTGTAGCTGACTCAAATAGGAGGATATACCTGTTCCTTAGCATTCCTGTCCTCAGGGTCGCCACCACACGGTGTGAACTTCCTCGCCCAACTTTTACTTCCCTGCTGGTTGTGCTGTCTCATTGAATCCCTGTAACGTCATCAGCACAACTCTGTGCTGGTCAGAGCTTGGAGGGCAGCAGCTTCCAGGAGCTGAACGACTCCTGTGGGATTTCAGGGCAGTGCAGCAGCTGGCCTTAGCTGACGTGCTCAGTGTGTAGGACAGCGTCACTGTGGGGCTGATGTGATGCTCAGCTTCTGCAGACCCGCAGAGCTGGGCTGAGCAATGGCAGAACCCCTCGGACCCAAGTCTTTCCTTGGGATTGATGTACTTTCTTCCTTAAGTGTGCTTGTCGTGATGTCCTTCTCCCTCTGTACTCCAGGCACAAGCACGACAGCTCTGCTGTTGTTGGGAACACAAAGGGACACGGGCAGAACCGGGAAACAGTGCAGGAACGAAGGAAGAAGGAAGCAAACAAAAGCACGAGAGCGAATCATAATCGGCGCGCCATGGCCGACAGGAAGCGGAGTAAAGGCATGATTCCTTCCTGAAAGCTTCCCAGGTGCTGCAGCAGCCCCAGTCCTCTGCTTGGAGGCAGCTGTGCTCCATCCCCTCGGCCCTCCCTTAGCTCAGGGAGGCTGGGTGCCACGTCCAGAACCTGGCCCTTCAGCTCCATGTGAACTGCACATCCCGAGGGAGGGCTGCCTCTTCCTGGAGAGGAGCTGCCCTCCGTGCACACCGTGGCTGTTCCTCAGTCTGAAGAGACACGTGTACAGCAGTGAGCTGCACCCACCGTTCACTTCTTTTTGTACTATTTATAACTCGGAGAGTTTTATTTTCATACTGGCTCCTCCTGCCCTCACTGCAGCCCATGGGGAGCTTCCAGGCTTTGCAAGGCTTCCCGGGGGCAGCCCTTCCAGCTGCCTGCTCTGCTGAGATGCCTTGTCCTGCAGTGAGGCTCAAAGGCTGACAGCAAAATGCTCGGGCTGAACACTGCTGACACACACGTAGGAGTTGAGGTGAATGAGACTATCATAAGTTTCTGTCCCTGGAGCAAGGTGTGTGGAAAACTGAATGTGCCAATAAATGATTTGAGTCTTGTAGTTGGTGTTTCAGGCTCTTAAGAACTATACTGATCTTGAAGTTGGAGGAGCTTCAGCAATGTGCTGCGTCTGCAGGCGGTGAAATTTGTTTGCTGCTCTGTGTTGGTTTAGTGAAATGAGATCTAGCCACTGAGAGTCGAGATAATTGAAAATCAGGCTCGTGGTATCCAATGCAAGCTGACAGTAATGTGGAAATCGGAGATAGCAGGGTCAGAGTCCCTGGGGAGCCAGCTCCTCACTAACTGCTTGTCACACTCCGTGAAGCAGAACTGCCCTGATCTTCATGTTTGCTGTTTGGAAGCCTGGGAGCTATTAGTAAGCAGCACTTTCTAGTTGCTGAAAGGGCTTTCCCTGAGGGCTGTCTTTTGTGATGGAGATGCTCTCTGCCTGGAGAGATGTGCAAATCCTTGAGTTTGCTTTGTGACCTGTCTGTAGGTGGGCTGCTGTGCTGTGCCCCGGACTGCCTGCCCACTGATGGTGGGAAAACCATTCAGTCGCTGTTGCCACGGAGCATTTTGCACGGTTTTGGAGTGCTCTTTTCCTCGTGGAGACGCACTTCCAGGTAACAATTAGGCTTTGCTTGGTTAGTCTATTCCAAACGCCATCTCACCACCACCACTTCTGTGCTTTTTCAAGTACACACGTATAGAGCAGAGCAGTCAAAGCTGCCCGTGCTTGTTGCCACGTGCTGGAGAAATGAGCCCGGGGCTGTGCAGTGTGACAGCCACTGCTCCAGGGCACATGGAGTGCCGTGCTCCCCTCCCAACGCTGCAGCACACGCTGTAGGCTGTAGGCGCCGCGGTTGCTGCCTGGTTTTACGCAGAGGGCGGGGACTGTGGGGCTGTAGGATCGCTGCTGCTGCCAAGAGCGTGGAAACGTCTGAGTGCACCTCGTCCCAAGCCTCGTAATGACAGGGCACATCACAAAGGGAATTGGGTTCACCAACTTCCCAAAAAATCCAGAGTCGAGGAAAATTACCCACTGGGAGAACTCCCCAGTGTTTTATAGCTACTGTTCTCTGGCCTGAGAGCTTCGTTTACTCTGCCAGACTGCTACAATGCTGTCTCCCCTTTCCTAATACTGTATTCATCTTCAGTTCTTGCTTCTAAGAAGCTGCAAATCTCTCTCACCTGCTCAGCATAGTGTGAAGCTATCAGCACTGCAGCCAGAACTTGGAGTAAAGCAGCACTTAAATGGTAGGAGATAATCCCAAGGAAGCTTAAACCTCCTCTTAAGCATCTCTGTAAAAGCACAGCTGGGACTGTGAAAAGCCCTAGTTGTTTTTTGCTCAAAAACAAGCACAATGCTTTTAAGATCTCTTAATGTTCTTACAGTAAACGTTTTACTCCTGTCTGGCACATATTTACAAACCCAATAAAGCTGCTTTCATTAGTGCTGGCTGTAATTTGCACTGCCTCATCCACTGCTAAAATTGCTGCTTATTAGCAAGAATATAGTAAGGAGGGAGAGATGTGTTTTTATAGGTCCTCCAGCAGCAGGCTTGGATTGGAGGGGAAATGGGAGAGCAGGAGCTGGTTTCTGCCAGCTCTCCCTGGAGTAATTCTGTTTTAATTGAATCATTAACCCAAACACTATCCTAACAGCCCTTCCTCATGAAGAAAGTTATTGGAAATGTCCACTGGGAACAGGGGGAGACCTTTCAGAGCAGGTGCTGAGAATTACTCTGTTCCCCATGAGAGCAGAGGCACGAATGCTTGTTGCAGAGCTACGTGATTGCTGTCCCTTCTCAGCAACTCTGCTGCAGTCTGAGGGCACTGAGGCAGGCTGACAGCAGACCAGGCAAGCTGCATAACAGTTCAGCTCTGCAGAGCACTCTTGAGAGCCACAAGGCACGCCAACAGTCAGCAACATCACTTACAGCCCATTTCATGGATCTGGTGACAAGCTGTCACACACCATCCCCATTTAGTACTACTGAGCCCCTCAGAGCACACAGCAGGACAGGGCAGGCAGTTCTCTCCCTGCTTAAGGCAGGGGCAGCAGCATTTGGGCTGCAGCTGTGGAATAACGAGAAGCCAAAAACCAGCACAGCTCTGGATTAAAGAAAGCTGATGGTTTATAGAAAACCTTGTGACTGTAGTCGTTCACTTTTCTTTGAATATGATGAGGAAAGCAGGCAGCTCCTCGCCCTGCTTGAGTTCTCATCGGGCAGAAGCCAGCAGTGGTGTTAGTGCACCTCAGCTGTGCAAGTGTGTGCTTTCACACTGCCCTGAGAAGAGCTTGCTTTCCTACAGTGTCCTGAAAGTAAGGTTTGGGGCTGAGCCGAAGCATCCTCCATTTCACAGGTAAGGAGAAGCTGCAGGCAGAACAAAGGACAAGGCAGGGAAACGCAGAAGCATGAAACACGGGTCAAGCATTTTTGTTTTATTTTAATACAGCAAGTTTCAATACAGCAGCAGAACTCGTTGAGTCCATCTTGGTTGACATCATATCAGTAGGTGGCTGATATAATCTGGCTCGGAATCAGTCAGGGACCCAATTCCATTTCAATATAACCTGTTTCAGGAGACTGAATCCTTCTCTGCAGTGTCTTTTGCCACCCCAGACTGGATCTTGCTGCTGAACATTTCAGTCTTGGCTTGCTTCATATTTGTGCTTGATGTGTTTCCACAGTTTCTGTATGCAAAACAAACAGAAAAGAAACAATTAGCTTCTCAGTGGTCCTGGGATAAAGCTTTACTTTAAAATGTAGTTATCAGTAACAACGAGGGGCAGAAGAATGCGCAGGAAAACACATCCACAAACACCAGCAGGGTGACAGTTTGGGTACAGCTGCCCCGTGCCCTCCTGCTGTGCCTGGGCAAACCCTGACCAACCACAAAGGCTTCAGGATGGCCGCTCCATCCACCTCCCTGCCCTCCTATTGCTGCTGCACAGCCACAGCTCCCACACTTGTCCCAACGCAGAGGGGAAGTACGAGGCTGAGCGCTGCCAGAGGCACACAACGGAATCCTATCCAGATACCGAGATCTGCTGGTGAATTCAGGGCCAAGAGAAGCACTGCACGAGGGCAGGACGGGAGCTGAGAGCAGAGTTCAAGCTCAGATGTTATTTAAAACAGCCCTAACAAACACCTGCTGCTAAGGAGGCACAGGAAGGGACGCCGTCTCGCTCCTCCGTGCCCCCCCGGCCCGGCTCGGCTGCTGCGGGGCGCTCAGGCTGTCCTGCCGCGTGCCCTGAGCTTCCAGCCGCTTTCTGACCTCCCGACTCAGGTCCGAGAGGCGGCAGAGGACACAAGACGGCTGTTTTAGACACAGCGGGCACTGAGGTGACCCTGCTAACGCTGGATCCGCCCTTGGATCCGGGCAGCCCGCCGTGAGCTCACATCGCTCCTCAGCGCCGCGCAGCAGCCTGTCCCCCCCCCAGGCCAGCGCTGACCTTCAGGGCCGCTCCCACCGCCGGGCGACCCCGGCAGCGCCCCGACCCTTCCTTACCCCTTCGTTGAGGTGTTCGAAGATGGCGTCCGCGCCCTGATCGAAGGCGCGTTCGAACAGCACGGCGCCCAGCACGACGGTGAGGGCGAAAGTGGAGGTGCGGCGGAAGAGCGCGCTGTAAGCCTGCCTGAGCAGCGCCATCTTGGGTGCACCTTCTGCGCCTGCGCCGCCGCCGTCCTCGGGGGCTGCTGGGAGCTATAGGTGCGCGCCGCGGGGTCTGCTGGGAGTTGTAGGCGCGGCGCTAAAGGCCGCAAGCCGGGCGGAGGTGAGCGGGAAGGGCCGGCCGTGGAACCGGGAGAGCGGCTAAGGGGGGGGGGGGGGGGGGGGGGTCGGGACTTGTGGGGGAGGGGAGCCTCGGGAGGAGCTGCAGTAAGTTTTAATTCTGTGCCTTTCGGGGCTTTTCTCCCGCACGGAGCGAGCACTGAGCGCCGCGTCATTGCTGCCGGCGCCGCGCGTGAGTCCGAAGCGCGCACCGAGGCTCTGCCCGCTGCTGGGCTCCTGCGGGCGGGATTCCACGGAGACGGGCGGGATCCTGCGGCCCCGCTGCGGAAAATGCTTTGTTTTCCTCCTTCGCAGCAGCTGCGCTGCAGAGGGGCCGTGCAGGAGGCAGCAGCCGGGATGGGAAGCTGCCGTGGTGCCTGGGAGCTCGAGGTGCCGCGGCGCGAAGCGAGCAGGGCGGCGGTTGTGTCCATAGCAGCTGCGCGGGCACTGAGCGCCGCAGCCCCCCTCCTCTGCGCTCCACAACCGCACCGGGTGCTGCTGCACCACCCCGGGGCCTCCTTAGGGATGGCAGTTTGGGGTGTTTGTGAAGCAGCGTTCGGTTCTGGCTGCTTGGGAGCTGTGAATTCCAGACCTGGAGCTCCCTGCGGAGATGAGGCTCTGGGGACGTGATGCTCTTGGGAAGGCAGGAGCTCGCAGGTGGCTCAGCCACACTCGGCCTGGGCTCTGCTTGTTGCTGTGCTTCCTGCCAGCTCTGAGGAATCCTTAGAGAGGCAGTGATTGATTCCCACCCTGATTTATTTATAAAATCTTTCTTTCTCGTGCTGCTCTCTGCGCTATTTTTTAAATGCGTTTAGCTGTCAAGGTGTCTAAAGCTGGAGAATTGCTTTTGGAGTTTATCTCCCAGTCTATCCATCTTTGGCATTTATCAGCTGCTGTTATATCTCACAGACAGAACGTAAGGCTCCCAGGAGTAAGATTCCCTGCTGCACCTGCAGCAGCTGGGCGGCCCCAGGCACGGTGCACCAGAGCAGCTGGCTTATTGCCCCCCAAGGAGTTCTTTAAGCTCTTCCTTGAGGTGAGGGTGGACGCAGAATTCCCTCCCTCGCGTGGCAGCTCACTTGGTTGTCTGCAGCCCCAGGTTGTGTGCCTGGCCTTGGTGCAGCTCCAGGGATCCCTGGGCTCTCAGGGTCTGAGTGATTTCCTAGCAGAGCCGCCATCCCCCGGGGTGGCAGAAGTGGGGAAAGCAGAGCTGAGCTGGCCCTGCCAGTATGTGCAGCAGACAGCGCCGTGCCAGTCCCTGAGGGATGGATGGCAGGTCTCACC